TCCTGGTTCAAGCAGTGTTCTTTCTCCATCAGGCCTGGTGGCTATTGTGTGGGGCTCCCCAAGGCTAGGGGTGGCCCTGGGCCAGTGGGTTGGAAGACAGGGTGACCAGAGAAGAGGGAAGCCCAAGGGTGCCGAGCACATGTCTGGAACTGTGGGTGCACTGCCTGAGTGATGTGTGAGAGGCCAGCGAGCATGCAGGCGGGAAGGCCACCACACCCCTACCCGGACTACCTATGAAACTCCAGCCCAGCCACCCGCCGCCCATCTCCGACTTCTTCCCCTTCCTCCCTTCTCCCCTTCTGCCCCTCTTTCCGGGAACCTCGCCCATGCACACACCTTTCCCCCAACCCCGCGCCTTCCCCAGTCCCCTCCCTGGCCGGCGTGGCGGGGCAGCTGCACTGCCTTACCAGCTCTCTCCTTGCTGTGTCTCTCCTATTTTCTCTCCCGGCTTCTCTCCAACTGCCAGCCGATCGGGTCAGGCAAGTCCATCCCGTCCTGAGAGCCCCCGGCCCCCCTTCGAACTCTAACCAGATCCCTTCTCTTCCTCGGAGGCCTCTCTTTCCAAGCCTGCCTGGACGGCTGTTCTGTGACTACCATTGGCTCCCCCAGCCACAAAGCCGCCCCCTTCATCTGTGACTTAGTCTGTTGTAGTGGTGAGCTGACACATCCAGGCTTGATGTTGGTGAAAACTTGTGCCCCTCTGCGGTATCGCTCCTGCCCTGTTCTATAAATATCTATAAATACTCATATATATACACATATGTATGGCCCACAGCCTCGCCTCTAGTGCTGGGAATCAATCACTGTGCCGTCCTTGTGGAGTCTGTGGCCCAACTACAAGGGAACGCTGTCCCCTGACATCCCCGCTTCAAAGTGTGCCACATGCAGTGAGCCTTCCTGTCATGCCCTGCCCGTGGACAGCCAGCCCTCCCGTCCCTCCCCTCGAAGCATGGGGGCGCTGTACAGGCAGCCGCGTGGTCTGAGGCTACCAGTCTTGTCTCTCGGCTAAGAATAAAACCCGTTTCTGGATGACAAGAATGACGTGTCCTCTGCTGGCTTGTGTTTTCTCTGGAGCTCAGGGGAGGTGAAGGTTTAAACACTGGGGTGTCCGGGTGGGGAAGGGCCCAGCCATTGCTACGGTGCTGTCAGGAGTACTGAAGAGGCCACATCCTTTCCGAGGCCTCCTTGGAAAGCACCTGGGGCTTAGCTCATCTTCCTCCTGTGACCCCCACTCTGACCACTAGGGAGCAGGGCCACAAGCTGAGACTGGCAGGAGGACCCGGGGCTGGGGCTGGTGCCCTAGAGGGATGGAAACAGGACGAGCAGGCCACCAGACCCACACAGGCCAGGGGGACGGGGGGGATGGAATGGAAGATGCCTGGGCTGGAAGTCGGCCCCCAGTGTTCCCTCCCGTTCTTAGATCAGGCTCCTCAACTTGTTGGCCATCAGAGCAGGACTGCTGCCCATACCCACTGTGGCAGTCCCCTGGAGTCCCCCAGGCTTCACCAAGCAGCGCCCAGGTGACAGGTCCCCAACAACCCCCTGGGACATGCTCAGACACTCCCAGCTCTGAACAATCAGAAGCCTGCCCTCTGCTGCCTGTTCAGTGGCACAGACCCCAGGACCCAGTAACAGAAAAAGGAACACACAAGGTCCAGCAGTATAGCTGAATCCATTTATTCGGAAATAAAAAGCAAGATAAACAGGAGCCGCGTCACCAGGGTGCCACAACCACCTCCCTGCACCCTTCCTCTGTATTAGGATATCAATAAATAAGTTTCCCAGCCCCAAATAATTATTTGAACCTCCTCCCCGTTGTTTTTAAAAGGTTATCTTGGCTTCAGGCCTATTCCCCATTTGCCAGCTCCAAACTCTGGTATGATACAGGGGGTGGCCCTACCCCCGAATATACAAAATATTACACATACAGTATATACAGGCGGGGGTCCCGGCCGGGCCAAGTTAGCCCAGTGGGGCAAAGCTGGCGCTGCCCTCTGAGTGAGGGGATGGATGCCCCTGAGGGAAGGACTCCTTGGGGTGGGGGGTGGTGAGGAGGCCACCAGCCAGCCCTTGCTTGTCCCCAGAGGCAGCCTTCTTTTTTGTTTTTTCTTTTTTTTTTTTTTTTTGAGGCAACCTCCTTAAAAAAAACAAATTTATGAGCCTCTGACTTTTTATTTTGCTAGAACAAAATAATCTCCTCCCAATTTTTTTTTTAAAGGTCATCTTGGTTTTAGATGTCATCCCCATTTGCCAGCTTTTCCAAACTCCAGTATGATACAAGGCCCTACCCCCAAATATATAAAATATTACACATACAATATATACAGGCAGGTGTCCCGGCCGGGCCAAGTTAGCCCCAGCTGAGCAAAGCTGAAGGGTGCTGCCCCCTGTCCTCTGAGAGACGGATGGATGGATGTCCCTGAGGAAAGGACTGCTTGGGGGTAGGGAATGGGGGGTAGGGGAGGGTGAGGTTGTCCCCAGAGGTAGCCTCCTTAAAAAGAAAATAGATTTATCAGCCTCTGGCCCCATCTAAAAAGGAAAATAATTTTTTTTTTATCTACCTAAGACGGGAAATAATCTAGTTGTTTAAAATTCCACGAAGAAGGAATATAACACAAATTTTTTTGTCCAGGTAAGAATGGAACTAATCCAATTATTATCAACCTAAGAAGGGAAATAATTCAAATTTTTTTTCTGTTCTTCTGTTTCTTGTTTTTAGTTTTTCTTTTCCCCTAAGAAGGCAAATAATGATTTTCTACTTTTGTTTTGTTTTTGTTTTTTCTGATTTTTCTGTTTCCTCCAGCCCCAAAATTTGTGTTTTTCCTTCTAAGAAGGGATAAAATTATTTCCATCTATGAAGGGAAATAATCTATTTAAATGGAGAGAAATAATTTTTTTTTTATTTTTGTGTTTTTAAATTTTTTTTGCTCCCACCCATCCGATTTTTTTTTTTTTTAATGCAGCTAACGAGGGAAAGTAATCTAAATTTTTTGGTATCACTTAACAAGTGAAATAATCCAATTTTTCAAATCTGGCTATGGAGGAAAATAATATCGTTTTATTCTTAAAGGCCAGCTAAGAAGCAAAATAATTTATTTTCTATGTTGGTTTTTTGTTTCAATATTTTTCTAATCTTGTTCTCCTCCAGTTCCCGAAGTTGTTTTAATGCCTCTGAGACATGAAATAATCCAATTTTTGAAATGTAGCTATGAAGAGAAATATATTTTGTTTTTCAAGCCAGCTAAGAAAGAAAATAGTTTTTTTCCGTTTTTGTTCTTTTTTCTATTTTTGTGTTTTCTAATTTTTCTGTCTCCTCCAGCCCAAAATTTGTTTTTCCTTCTAAGAAGGGAAGGAAAATATTATGTAAATTATTTAATCTACCTATAAAGGGAAATAATCTATGTATAAGTCCAGCTATGAAGGGAAATAATTTTTTTTTGATTTTTGTGTTTTTAAGTTTTTTTTGCTCCCACCCATCCGATTTTTTTTTTTTTTTAATGAAGCTAACGAGGGAAAATAATCTAAATTTTTTGGTATCACTTAACAAGTGAAATAATCCAATTTTTCAAATCCGGCTATGGAGGAAAATAATATCGTTTTATTCTTAAAGTCCAGCTAAGAAGCAAAATAATTTATTTCCTATGTTGGTTTTTTGTTTCAATATTTTTCTAATCTTGTTCTCCTCCAGTCCCCAAAGTTGTTTTAATGCCTCTGAGACATGAAATAATCCAATTTTTGAAATGTAACTATGAAGAGAAATATTTTGTTTTTCAAACCAGCTAAGGAAATAATTTTTTTCCGTTTTTGTTCTTTTTTCTATTTTTGTGTTTTCTAATTTTTCTGTCTCCTCCAGCCCAAAATTTGTGTTTTTCCTTCTAAGAAGGGATATATCTTAATTATAATCCATCTATGAAGGGAAATAATCTATTTATAAATCCAGCTATGAAGGGAAATAACTTTTTTTCTATTTTTGTTTTTTGCAACTTTTTTCCCCTCCTTCCAGCCCCCAAATTTGTTTTTAT